ACTGCTGTTAATAACCTTCGCTTCATGAATATTTTGCACGTTGTATGACCGTATTACTACGTGACGAATGATGTTTGCTCACTTTGTCAGTTTTGTTTTCATGTTTGATTAGTAGTTTCTGGTTTTTCTATTTCTAATGCATGGCACTCCGGTGTTTATTACCTTACTGTTAGTTTCGACGTTTTAGTACCTGTTGAAATATTTGCTAAATTCCGTTGAAATCAACTCCGATGTCAGTTTGTACCTGAAAATCGCAACGGCTTATTTTCAACATCATTACCTGACAGAAGCAGACGATCTGTTGTCGACGATGGTGCGCGATTCAGAAGCGGCGAATAATTCGGTAAAGTCTGGCGAGCATTCGACAGTGGTTTATTTCTTGTCTTATGCTTTATTTGCTTAAGGCAGAAGTGTGGTATCGCTTTGCGGAGGTAATTAAAGATCTTAAAAGGGACAAAGCTGCTGTCGATGCATTCAAAAAAGTGCTCGAATTAGATCCTCACTGTGCGATTGCAACGATCAATCTCGCTGCCCTCCAGCAACAGCTAGGTTTTACCGAAGAGGCGATGCATACCCTCGATATGGTCGATGATGGCTCAACGGAAGGTCTCAAATGCTTGGTACCTATCAGATTAGTACTTCTTCTGTACGATTTTTGCTTATATCTCTGAACTGAATCTCAGCATGCTTAATGCCCCAATTCTGTTGATTTTACAATTGATTTCTTCCGTGAGGAGCAAAGCAGAGCAATAGATAAAAGCTAAATCTTATCAATCATATTTATAACGGCATCTAATATGAAAATGTGAGACCTCATGATGAAGGCAGTCTCGAGACTGTCTCGGTCATGTTTTTTTATCGTTTCCATAAGCAGTTCATTTGTTCAAATAAAAATCTGCGTGCTATTTATTTGCTAACAAAACACCTTTAGCTTATGAGACCGTGTTGAAATATACCCTCTATGCCCTCAGAATTCTCAAGGGTCGTAGAAACATTTCATTCTGCTGATCCATGGCATATGAGCATCCATGCGTCTGTGCCAAATATTCCAATAGGTTATTGATTTGCACTAAGCAATAATGTGGCCGTGCATCCTTTCACTCCAATGTCATAATGCTATTGGTAGCCTGTTCTGGTTAAACTGTCCCCTGTATTTATGGAAATGAGACGACGGTATAACTGCGCGGCATAAATACGGACAAGGAATATACATGCTCTGCTTTCTCCATTTCTTCTTCCCTTGTTCCTTTGAACCATATTTATGGGTTTAAACGTTATATTTATGTATAACTGCATATTTACGCTTTGTATGTCTTTGCGTCGTATAATATTTGATGTAATATTATCTTTTATATAGATGTCCATGTGTAGTCGTATTGCATGCCCTTATATAGTAGCGCACATTGATTTATAGATCGTTGCCATACAGATGTTGTATAGCTGTGACACATACATTAAATGTGCTATTACCTACTTGTAACACATATGACCGTAACTCTCGCCACATGTTATATAGTTATGTACTTATAAATGATTAGGGGCAATTTTGTATGTTAGTATGTTACTATTATCCGTATGACATATATCTCATCATTTCTTTTTCCTTTTCCTGCTTTTCTTACGTCCTTTTCTCCTACTGTATTATCTTTAATAATGAGAAAGAACCATTTATCGGTTTCAAATGCTTTGAGGCTTTATGCGTATTAATTGGAAGCGTTTTTAGGACGAAGGACTGATGTATCAGCGATGCCTTAAGTTTCAAAAGGAAGAAAACTGGTCTCGCTTTACTTCTGCTGCTCAAAAGCTGCTTGCGATGTATTTCAAAGAAGTTCATAAAACGATGTCAATTTCCAGTAAGTGAACATTATTATTTGGAGGTTGTTTGCTTTATATATGCCGTAATCTTCGAATATCACTGAAGTAATTGAGTTAGCATAATAAGCTTAATACGTTACAGCGTTATTTAGCTTAAACTAACAGGCATACGCCTCTTTACCAAAGTTTTGACTAATCAGAAGACCTGATCTGCTCGATTCATGCCTCCATGCTAATATTTTTCCTCTACATAGAAACGTTATTACCATATGAGGCGTCACTGAAAAAATGTATTTTCTGACGCTTCCATGTTTAGTGTCAATGGTAACACCAGTTTTCACAGTGTTGTGTTACTCAATCAGTCATTGAGTCCAGTGCTGGAACCATACGCAAAATGTGATGTTCCATTAATATAACAATTGTTATTTATTGTTTGGAAGTTAAATCAGCATTGCACAGTAAGCTCCATGAAA